GTTTGTGTGTTCAGCATGAGCACTGCAAGTTGAAAATGAGCTTGTGCAACTCACTGTTACTGTTCCAACCATGACTGAGTGTATTCTGCTATTCTTATACTCATTGTTTTATTTATTTATTATTATTATTTATTTAATTAATACATTTGGACATAACCTCCCACAAAGCTTTGAGGTGATGTTCAACAATATTAACATATCCATTCCAATACAGGACAAAAATGCAATTGAAGAACCAGAGCAGAGTTAAAATTATTCAAAAGTCACCTAACATAATTGATGTGCACACTCATCTAAGCTCAGTGACAAAGTGGCTTCATGGTGCTTATGTTTTAGAACTGCAGTACGGGCAACTCCCATTTATGCACATTCAAGACACGTGCAACGGCGCATGCATGCATCGCTGCGAACTTGGAAATGGCACAAAGGGGCAAAAATGGCCCTAAAAAGCATGTAAACTGCAAAATGGCACAAAAACAGTGCTTAGCAATCCCACAAGCCATTGCAAGTGCAGAAGCCTTTGCACCAACCTTTTGAGGCCTGTGGAGAGTTGGAGTTTGAGCAAGAAGTTTTGATGGGAGCGATTGTGGTGTTTGCATTGTTTTTCAATGGTGCTCCCAATATATGTGATTTCACTTAAATGTGCAGTGTCTCAAAACATAAGCCCCACGTAAATGGGGAGTTGCCAATACTCAGGTTTGCAGCAAAAATGTCCTCTGTTTGCTGTCATGGGGCACCACACTGAGGTGGTTATGCTCTTGAACTCAAATGTCAAAACCTTTGCTCACTTCTCCATTACTGGCTTTTTTGCTATGCTATTGGTATTTAATGAGGAACAACAGATACTTTCAGTATGGTGTCCTAGATCTAGGGCACATGGGGAAGATGCTTTGATATTTCTGCCATTGGCCAGAGAACACAAGGCTATTGGAAGGTTATATCTTGTCCCTTCTGGGAAGACTAGTGGCAAGAAGGAAGACCTGACTGACCATGGTCACTTGCCAGAGAACAGAAGGGAGCTCGCTTCTTTCCTTTCTGCCAGAAGGAACTCTGCTCCATTTGTCCTTGAATGGCACAAGCAAGGGAATAGCATATTCAGCATGCCGATCATAGGAGCCCCAAACATCTAGTGAGCAACTTGGCTGGAGATGCCATTAAATATGAAGAGGAAGCAGAAGAAATTGGAGCTATAATACTGATGTGTATTTTTCACTTCCCCAGCTGTCAAAGGGTAATGCTATCAGGGTTTTAGCTTTCTTTTGCAGGGGAGGCTGATGGTATTATTGTAATATTTGATATAGTTATGCAAGCAGTTACATGTGGAGGTAAGCAGTCCATAGTCATAGAAGGCAGTAGATTCACTGTCCCACATCATCACCCCAGAGAGATGTGCCTCTACCCCCAAGGTGCTTTCCAGCCTCCAGTTAATCTCTCTTTCTTTGATTCCATCACTGTCTCATGCTCTGCCTCTTTCTCGCTGCTCTTTAAACCACAGTTTTCCCACCCACAAACTTTAAGACCCATGCTTAGCTGGGGAGGGATTAGTCATCCTCCAAAAACTGCTTTAAAAAATATATATTGAGGGATGATCAAGAAACCATCCTCTAACCATTAGTTCTCCTTAGGGAAACATTGGTCACCATGCCTGAGCCATTAGTCAACAATCTACTTCACGAAATATATGTGTGGCATTGCTTTGCTGAAAATACAAAATACAATACTAAAATACAAAATAGAAATTAAAAATAATAAATAATAAACAAACAAACAACAACATTGTGGCACCTTGAAGACAAATTTATTATCACATAAAGTTTTGTGGACTAAAATCCACTTCATACAAAAATGTTCATATGGGTGAAATACTTCATATGGGTGCTGCCACTCTTTCTGGGTGACTGATAGCCACTGGATAAAGAAATGCAGACTACCTCAAGTATATTATTTGATATGAACTCTCTGCTCTCTTTAAAGAGAGAGCATGTGAAAACCTGAAAAGCAAGTTTGGACATTACATTAATTTATTGAGTCTACAACACTGACCAAATTAAGGATGTTCATCTTAGGAGGGACTCTACTTTGTCAGATTTGATGATGGAACAAATTTGGAAAGAGGTTTGAAGTAGTTCTCAGGCAGAGAGCTTTCCTAACCCTTGATATATGAATGTGGGTTTTTTAAATGGAAGATGCCAATGATTAAACCTGGGATGTTCTACATACAAAAATGTCTTCAATCACTGAGATATGTCCCCTTTGCAATGGGGAAAGCCTATGTCATCTGATATGAAGTTAACAGATGCAGTAACAATCCTAACCAATAATACAATCCTATGCATGCTTATGTGAAAGTAAGTTGTACTATGTTGAATGGGGGCTTCCTCCCTTGTGTGACTGCAGCCCTATTTTTTTCTAGAACAGGGATCTGGGTTTTTTTAATATGAAAGTTTATATTTTATCTTATGGTTATGAGGTACAATTTCAATTTGTGCAAAACAAAAATTGTTGCATCACCCTAACCATGGCTGGGGAAGCTATGCTCCCCCAGGTATTGCTGAACTCAGACTTCCATCAGCCCCAGCCAGCACAGCCAATGTTCATAGGAGTTTCAGTCCAGCAAGATCTGGAGGGCCATAGCTTTCCCGTCCCTGCCCTACAACTTGCTTCTCAGAATTATGTGGTGATGTTGGTGGGGCAACCCAGCTAGATGGGTGGGGTATAAATAAATAATAATAATAATAATAATAATAATAATAATAATAATAATAAATTATAGCAAATGATACTGTTCCTTCTGATACAAGTGTGCCAAAAATGGCAACTACCGGTATATGGAATCTGAAATCAGGAGATGAAGGGAATTTGTATGCCACCTTTCAGGAAAACCCTCCTAAGGTTGTTCACATTAAAACAGAAAATAAAAACAGAAATACTGAATCAGTGCAGGACAAACTTGGTGAAACTGGATCTCCGTGTGTGGGTCCTTAAATACTTTAACTATTCATTGTATGCACACAATTGGCCTCAGCTGCAAAGCCTTTCATGAACAGCAAGAGAAGCGTATTTCTACAACCTCAGCATAGAATACTAGAATTGAAGAGGGTCCTCTATCCCAACCTCCTGCAGTGCAGGAATCTTTTAGCCCAACATGGAACCCACAACCCTGCAATTAAGAGCCTCATGATCTACTGACTGAGTTATCTCAGCAGCCATCAACTTTCACGTAGCTTATGGCAGTATTATATTTGCTGGCTGACCAGTTTATTTGTTCAGTGGATTGTGAGTTCCACTGGGTAGGATGGGTAGGTAGGTAGTTACAGTTAGGAGATGGTTGATAGTTGACTTGAGAACCTGGGTTTTTGCATGAGTAATCCACTGTCAGCACTTGGGAGAAGATGGCACATCTCCAGCTAAGAAGACAGATATTTGTGCTTGAGTAAGTGAAAGAGATGCAGCAGAAAAATTAGCTTGGGGCTGCAATGCAATTGCTGCCTCAGGGGTTTCTCTGCTCTATGGGGAATCTTCTGCCTTATGTGTGTCTGTCTGCTACTTATGCTCTGCTTGTATATTTGTAATTAAAGCACTATTTTGAAAACACCTTAGGTTTCTTTAGCTCTCTCTCTTCAAAAGGAACTAAATATGTTAGTGCTGTTCCTGGAATTCCTCACTACTCAGGAAAGTGGGAAATGTTTAAACAACAGGCTTTTGAACAACTGTATAGTGTGCAGACCAATATAAAAGGAGTGGGGCTAAAAATGTGAATGTGGTTCCTACATATCAGCTTTCTCAGTGGTGGGGAACCTCCAGCCCATGGACCTAATTATGCCTTCCAGGCCTCTATATTTGGTCCGAGTATTTGGCCCAAACCATGCCCACCTGTCCATTTTCTGGTGTCCTATGTGGCTCAGGTAAACTTGGGGGGTCAAATTCAAAATGTTTTTTTCTTTCCAGCTATTAGTAGTTTGGGGTGTGCGTGTGTGTGCGTGGCCTTTTCTGTTGCTGCAAAAAGAGCAGAATTATAGCTGGAAAGGAGGAAGCAGGATTACGAGTTTATTGGGTTTAAATGCGCAATGTCAGCATGGCATCGGTATGGTGAGTTTGTTGCCACCATAAACATGGCTCACAATGGTTAACGCTTTGAGAGATCGCTGCGGCAAGGGGATGTGAGAATATGAAAGACATTGTTGCTAAATCCTGCACCTAGCCATGACAGTTATGCTCCAACAACACTGGCGCAGGCAGCTTGCCTCTTTGTACCAGTTGCTGGGCATTGCAACTGGTGAGGATGCTGTGGGACTTAGGTCCCACTTGCAAGCTTATCATCAACATCTGGGAGAACAGGCTGCTGGGGTAGTAGGCTGGCCTTTGGTATGATCCAGCAGAGCTTTTTACACCATGGTTTTTGTTTTTACAAGGAATGCTGACTTTTACAGCTTTTTATAAAGGTGCTTGATATAAAACACAAATTCTTCTCGTGTCAGATTTCTCTCTTTTAATAGCAGAACCACCGCCAGATTTACTCGGCGGCAGCGGCAAGTCTCTCCCCGGGTTTCACTAGGACGGACTCCCTGTGTTAAGTGCGATTAGGACGGCAGCCTAGATGTTGCCAACCCGAGCATTACTGCACGGAGGGCTGGATCCCGTGTTACTCATGCGTAGGGCAGACTCGCTGGCATCAGTGGGGTTGAATACCCTGGATCCGCCCCGTGAACTAGGCTCCACGCGCACCTCCGCTCTCTGCTTCTCCTCGTTTCCTCTCTGCGCCCCCGGAGCCCAGGGGTCCCCCAGAGGATCCGGCGCACGGACCAGGAGGAGCCCTTTCCCCCGGTTCCTGCTGCGCCTTCCACCGTTGCCATGGCCAACCGCCCGCGCCTCCCTGCCCGCCACCCCCCCCCGCCGCATTTCCGCGCGCGGCCAGGTTTGGGCGGTAGCTGCGCCCGCGGTGGCCCCCCGCCTCCGCGTGGCCGTGCGCGATGACGTGCGCGTGACGCAAACGGCGGGCGTGCCGGCGGCGGCGGCGGCGGAGGCTCGGGGCCCCTCCCCCAGAAGATGGCGAGTCCGTGCGGGAGGCAGGAGTGCTCCATCGAGAGGCGCGGCTTCCGCCACCAGCTCGACTCGTGGCGACACCGGCTGCTGCGCTGTGTGGGTGAGGGACCATGGGGGGGCGGAGAGGGGAGCGGAGCCCGGGCGGGCGGGCGGACAGGGGGGCGGAGGGGAAGCGGACCGCTTGTGTGGAGACAACCCCCCCTTCTTTTCACCTCCGCCCCACTTCCCCTCATCTCTCTCCACACAGTGAGGGGAGAGAGAGCGCTGAGCCCCTCCCCCACCCACTCCTCGGTTCGCCCGCCGGCTGACCGCGCGCGCGCCCTCGCTCGCTCCCTCCCGCGCGGATTAGCCGCTCCACGCGCGCCTCACACCCCTCCCCCTTCCTCGCGCCTCACGGAGCAACCGCGGCCTAGGCTCCGCCCCGCCCACTCCGGCCTGGTCTCTCCTCTCCCTCCCTCCCCCGCCCCCTCTCGGGAAGGTGGGAGGACGGGGGAGAGAAGAGGGCCCTTTGTTTGGGGGAAGGGGGTGAGCTGGGCTGTGTCCGCCGGAATGGGTCAGGGAAGGAAGTGCTTCGGGTGGCCTCCTCCCCACACCCCCTCGCCCGACTATATATTTATTTATATATATATTACGCCCCCCCTCTCCCGCCCCCGGTCAGAGGCTGATTCGGCTTGGGAAAGTTACCCTTGCTGGGGATGATGGCAGAGCAGGATTGTTCCGGGGTGACCACGCCCCTCTCCCATTTCCAGAATTTTGCACACAGGTCATTCTTGCTTCCCCGTCCCCCTAATCGGTTTGCTCCTTGCTTTCCTATGTTCAGCCACATTGTGTCCGTGTGGCCAAGGAGCTAGGATCCTGCTCCGTTTATCCCCTGGTGCTGAATTGTGTATAAGGATGTGTGTGTGTGTGTCGAAATATTATAGTCACCGATTTACCTTGCAGAATGTTCTCAGATGTTAGGAAAAATATACCCTATTGCCATGATACCTCTTGTTGAAAAGGTAGTATTCCCCTAAATCTTTTGGATTGTGAAGATGACAGAATAACTTGCCTTGGAATCTTCATAAGCTGCTAGGGTTGAGAACCACTGTGCTAGGGAAAGCACATTTACTTTTTATAAAATATAGAAGCAGGTGAAAAGGTGCAGTTATGCGGAAGGGGATATTATTTATAATTCAGTCCTCACGTTGAACTGACAAAGCTCCTTTCATGTGAAATACAGGTTTATTTCAACATGTAAGAGTGTTTTCTGCTCATTTAAATGTCTTAAAAATCCCATGTGCTTTCTCCTTTGATTTCTTTAGATAATAATACATCATTCCAACATGTTAAGACAGTAGCTTTGTTAATACACAGAGATGGGCTACATGCTATTAAACTTACAATGCAGTCATGCATTCTTACTAGGAATTAATACCACCGTTTTCACAGAGGTTTATCCCTTAAATGTGACTTAGGGATAGCAGCTTTACTATCCTGAAACACAGTATTTACTGAGTAAAAAAGCAAGGGCAGTAGAAGCAGATCATTTTAAGTTGAACTCTAGTTTCCTAGACAGCAAAAGAAGGATGCTGATCATGTTAACTGTAATCCAGCAAGTCACCTTAAAATTCTGTAGCAGTGCCTGCTTTTCTTAATTGTAATTTAACTGCCTTTACAACTCTTGCTTAAACAGTAGCCCCTTTTTAACTGTAGTTAGTAATTACTCAATATTAACCTGTATAATAGAAAACACTGAAATTATTGTCTTCTTTTTTAAAAAATAGAAACACTTTTTGTTGCACTAGTGCATGTATTAAATGGCATTCAGTACATTGTCATATTTGTTTAACTGTATCAAAAAATAGACCAGGGCTTGGGAGAGAACCACAAGCACATCTGAATGATGTCACTGGTTAGAAGGTGGGTCAGAGTTAACTGGTTGACTAAAAGAAGGAATGGCTTCTTGCCTTTTGGAAAAGCTTCAGCAGGTAATGCATTAGAATATTTCTTCAGGAGAAATATGTGCTGTGAGTGTGCTTGTTTGTATTAGCATCTATCAGTTAGGTGCCTGTCTCTGGAAGATCATTTTACTACTTCCTCTGCCTGATGGAACTGAACACAAATTTATTCTTCATTCTAGTATCTTTTTTATGTACTTGAATGGTGGTGTTTGTGTCCGAGTGTTAAAGTATACTAGAAGGTTAAAGGCTAGCAATCGTTGCACATATCTGCTCCAATTATTTCAGGTCATCAGTTACTTGAGTTGTTATGTATCCCTGTTAGTACTTGTGGACATTTGTTTGAAATTCTGTGATTTGCAGGGGAGATTGCTACTGATGTTTTACTCAAGATTGGTCAGAAATACTAAGGATATCTGCAAACTCAAAAAAATAATATCCAGTGGTAGTCATACTCAGAGTAGACCACTTAAGTATTGATTTCAGTGGGTCTACTCTGAGTATGACTTAATCAGATATCACAAAAAGGAAACATGTTGGAGCACTTCTGATATGTTGGAGCACTTCTGTTGCTGATTTGGAAAAAATGAGCATAGCATCTAGGGGGAACAATTCTTTTTGCTTCTCTCTCCACCCCTGTAGTCTTGGTATCTATGTGGGTGCACTTTCCCCCCTTTTGTGTAAACAGAAGATATGAAGGAAATGACTAAGCTGTGAAGGTTAATCACCTAGCTATCCAGATTATTTTTTGAGGTAAAGTACAAAAACATTTTAGAAGGTCCAAAGTATAATTGTGTTTGAAGCATTTTATCTTGATAGCATTGCACCTAACAGTTTGAACTTAAAATTGATCAGTTTTATGAGGTCTTAGCTTCATAAACTTCCAGGGTGCAATAAGTATTGGTGATATTTTCCCCTGATCTTTCTCTGGGAAAGTAAAATATTTGAGTTTATGAGTCCATTCCAAATAAAACTTTGGTGGGTGGGAGGATTGGTTTGGTTTGCATACAGGACTTTAGGTTTTGTCTCAGGTAACAGTACTGGGAAAGAGAACTAACTGTGGCTTCAGAGGCAAGGTTCCAGTTCCAATGGAAGACAGGTTGATTATGTGTGGCAGCTATAATTGGTCTGATTTGGGCCAATAAGTCCATAAGAAAACTGTTAATTTTATCTTGTGTTCATGGTCTTTGGTTAGGCCATATTGCAGTAACAACATTTTTAATAGAAGTCTTGGAGGAAGTATGGTGAAAGTCCAACTGGGATTTTAAAACATCTAAATCAGTGTTTGTGAACCAGGGCGGGAGGGAGGCATATGATGATCTTGAGTGGGGACAGAAGTGTTCCCAAAATATGTACAGTGTAAGTAAAAAAACAAAATTTCAATCCATTTGACAATTAAAAAATAACAATGTAGGAGCCAGGTTTGAAGGGGGAGAGTGGGATTTTTATATTACTAAAAGGGGGCATGAGTTAAAAAAAGATTGAGAAACACTGATTTAAAGGCTTTGAATTTTACTAGAACAGAGTTGTTAAAAGTTAGCAAGTCAGTTGTTTTGATAGAACTATACTCTAATGAAGTTTAGCTGAGAGTATTAAAAATTGGAATGGAAATCTTTAGTTCTATTCTTACCAAAATATGCTTTAATTAAGTGAGCTCTCCTTATTGCTCAGGATGTGGAAGCAAATATATATTTTGCATTGTTAAAAATGAGGTCATTTGCCTGGATGCCAGGCCAGCGAGTTTAAGTTTGAAATGATAACCACTTGTCTTTTTACAAGTTATCAGATATCTGCGCTCTATGTATTGTAATAAAAAGTGCTATAATTGGTGCCATGAAGGTTACATGCTAAGATAGCCAGATTTTCATCTTCATGTTGAAAGCTACACATCTGTGAAGTGATATGACTGACTATTAGAGAGGATCACATACAAATAGTGTAGTGCTGAGTTGTAGTTTTGATTTGCATGTTTTAGAAATTAGGAGTGTGTTTTTCAGGGTTTGATATGAATCTCATTAATTTGGAATACTCTGAGGGAGTAATGGAAGTTTCAGATAGAGGCTTGATACTTAGGGCTACTTTCTAACACAGGGAACAAAGTCGACAAGCTTTATTTTTATGGTTGCTTTTGGTATTGATAAAAAGTAATTCACAATATACCTTTGGTTACCTAATACCTGAATGTCCCTATAAGTTCTCCTTTGGAATTTATATGCACCAGACCTTCATGCAGGCATCATAGTGACACTCACACTTACCTGGCTCCAGATTCCAAAAGATGTAATTCTGTGAAGCTGAAGTATGATACTTAAAATTAGAAGCACAGTGAAGACAAGGAAAGATGTTCTGTCACTATTCTGGTAAATTTTAATAATATGTCAGAAAAATAAAATCACGATTTTCTTCTGAATCTTAATGAAAGTGCATTACAATGTATGTTTTGTTTCCTGTCAATAGTGTACATGCCAATATTTTGTTCAACCTTCTCCCTTTCATAGGAGCGCCACTAATATACCCCTGAACCTACTTCATACACTTTCCTGAATAGTGAAGGAAAAATGACCCCGTAAACCTTCAATGTTCCCATACGTTTCCTTTTTTGTAAATGCTATACCCTGCTGGATTTGGCTCTAAGCCTTTTAAAAATCATGAACATCATAGGAAACTAAAATTCATCATTATGTATGGCCTACATAATAGTAGCATTGTAGATTGTAAATCAAGTACCTCTGAACTTGGGAACATTGTGAGTGGGTGTGCAACTATAGGTTGTTCAGTATTACATCTAGTTATCATTTTACAGTGCTAGATACTGTATAAAAGTTAAAATAAGGAATTGGTATTACTATAGATGCATACACTTACAAACCTTGAATAGCCTGATGGTTATTCTTCCCAAGATGTAAAACAGTCATGCTTATTTCTTTGATCGTGACTAGAGAGGCTGTTTTCATTGACTTCTGTTTGTAGGCTTTTCTGGTTGTTCAGCATTAAATATGCAGGTAACTCGGGACTTGCAGAGCAGTGGAAAATGTTAAAACAACAAATCTTCAACAAAATGCACAACATTTAGAGGCCTGCACATGCTCTAGCTACAGAGACCAGCATTCTGTTCTCAAAATGTCTATGTGAAGGATCTATAAGTGATAACTGAGAAATA